CATAAAGCAAGCACATAGTTTTAGAGTTCAGGTCAATTGAAAGAGAGAAGAATCTTACTCATTGAACAAGCTTTTCAGAATTTTCAGAATTCACATGCATACATAAAACAAACTGTTTGAGCAGTGCAGATTGACTCGCATGAAACTAATCGGGTGCAGTATATGGAAAGTATTTATATATCGACTCGGGCCGGTCCGTCTACCCCTACTTCGGTTGTTGAAATCATTATCTTGCGATAAAACTTTGGTTTAAAGGTTTTCTAATTGAAATGAAAGAAAGTAAAGGTAATTTGGTTTGAAAACTCTTTTGTGGGAAAGTCACTCGGGTTTCGCTTCCCCCTAACCACTACCATGCTACGTGGATTGGAACGATTGCCTTGGGCACGCTAATCGTGAACCGCAGAGGAAAGCATATGTGGTCGGAGACCACAGTCTCAATTACTAAACCGAGGTGAGGATGAAAGGTCGTGTCACTCAACCCTCTCGGTTTAGACAATCGGTAATCGGCTTACTTCCTCGCTCAACTTGAAGGTCGGACGGTTTAACCACGATTATTCGACTTGTTCAATTCAATATTGAGGGTTGACCTAACTCAACCTAGTTTAGGTGGCTTAGAAAGCGGAAGGAAAACCAACTCGACTTAGCCTCCCTTGAAAGGGAGATTTTCCTCTCTAAACTAGGCTAAGGTAGCAAATTAGATTACTAGCACCTAAATGCACAAACTTAGGGGTGCTAAGCACAATTATGCACAATTCCTAGGATGCTAAGCACAAAACATGCACAACCCCTAAGTTGCTAAGCACAAGCATGCATAATCATGGTGAAAAATGCCTCAAACATTGAATTGAACAAATACCCAATATCAATCATCCAAACCACATAGAAGAAAACTACATGTTACAATTAGGGTTTCATTGCACCCAAGTGAAAGGAGGTCTACTCCATGGTAGAAGTGGGAAGAACAAAAGGGAAAAAGGGGGAAACAATCTTTTGGGGATGCCTCCTCTCTTCTTGACCCTCGAGCTGAGATCTCCTTGGGGGAATCTTCCCAAAATTTGCCTTGAAGCCAAACTCTAACCTTATTCTTCCCTTTGGTTCTGTTGCTCTCACTATAATGCTGAAGAAGGTGCTTCTCTCACAAAAGTGGGTTCTCTCTTCTCTCCTCCTTGCAGCTCAGCTTTTAAACACGAGAAGATCTGAGTTTACGGCCGTGAATCATCAAACGCGTCCGTGAACTCAAGGCGCGCCCCAAAACGCTCGGCATCGCTCACGTCAGTTCACGGGCAACTGCTTGTGTTCACGGTCTTAGTGACCGTGAACTCACCTTGCGTCTGTAACCTTCACATTGGCTCTGGACGCCTCGCTATTCACGGTCAAGTCTCCTTCTTCACGGTCTTTCATGACCGTGAACTCTTTCAGTTAACCGTGAACATGCGCTTTTTTACCTCTTCTCCCGGTTTTCGATCCTTTTCGCCAATCTTTCGACTCCGAGGCTGGTGTCACCTGTTAAATCCTGAAACACACTCAAACACGAAGAACCTAGCGTAAACCGACCTTTAAGGAGCGAATTTGGGACAAACATCTAAGCAAAACGGGGGCAAAACATGTGCAATTAGGCCCGGATCACTCCCCCACACTTAGACATTTGCTTGTCCCCAAGCAAACCATTTCATGCACACGGTAATATTTCAACCTACACAAATGCTTTGGGGACAACTCAAAGGACACGAAGCGGGAATTCTCGATGTTTATAGCCAATCAACACATGAACCATTGCAAACAATACCGACATCTACCACAAACAACATTCAAAGCCACCAAAACGAGCAAACGAAAAGTTCTCAACTTATTCATGGATAAATGCAAGTCTCAACAAAACCACTTATCGACCACAACCAACCATGCATGGAATTCAAGTTCGAGGAACAAATGGAAAGGCAACTAAGGTCCTCACCGGGGTATGAAATGGTAAGTAAAACAAGAATGGATCACTCACTCTCAAGACCAGTGGGGTGGGGACCTTTCTGGTGCAAAAGATGTGCACAATCGTAACCTCTCGGCCCTATCGTCTCAATACCATGGCGGTAACCTCTAAACGCTAGAGTTCACAGGATGGTTGTCACCACTCACCACTAGCTCGTCCAGAGGTCTTAGACATGGGTTCAGATGACTAGCGATTGGCTTGGACATGGGGAAAACGCTTTTTGGGTGGTGGAAATCATGACTTGAGGTTCTACATCTTCAACCTAAACCCGAAGGGTCTATGGTTTCGACTAAAACCCTTCTCTTCAATCAAAGGCCACTAGTATCGGCCAAAACCCTTATCTCTCCCTTCCAACTATCACCCATCATGAACTACCTTGAAGCACTCTTCCTTGGTCAACTCTTGCTAGTTCTTTAAGGTTTGGTAGTGAAGGAGTTCTAAACAATGTGGGGGTTTCGATGGCTTGGATGTCAAGAAACCCCTCCTAGAGCATGTACTTTGGTTTTTCGTGGCTCTCTCTACTTTATTTACCCCATTTTATTACCTCTTTTTCGTTTCTCTTTTCTTTTCGAGGGGGGTACTAGAGAGTAACAACACTTGCCACCTATACTTTTAACGACCAATGCTCTCTTTTTGAGGAACTCACTCCAACACTACACTTAATTTTTCTCATCCCTAGCAAGGACCACACACGAACCTCTATAGAAACTCAACGGTAAGAGCTCCGGGACACACGGGAGACTCATGTTTGGACACGAAGAGAGGATTTGGGGTTCGTTCTACTAACACCTTTAAGCTCACACGAACGAAGCTCCTCAATTGAGATCGACCTACTTGCTAGTGACGACCGTAACGCTACACACCGTGGTAAGAGGGAAATATCACACCGAAAGAAATGAACGATTCGAAAGCTCACAGGCTACCTAGTTACCCAACCATCTATTCCAATCAACAAACACAATGCATGGCAATTGTAAACAACAAGTGATCAAGTCAAGACATCCATTCATTTATGCACACTTGAGAACTAAACTTATGCCCTATCCTAATGAACTTCTCAGTCATCATCATAGGATATACTCGATCACATGCAACAATTCAAGATCAATGCCACAAACACGAGAATTTCCCACCATCCGGCCACTTTGAACATGTAAACGTTGCTTGGAGCCCTCAAATTTTTGAAATTTGGGCATACAACAGGCTCCAAGCAACCTCTCCTCACACAAGCATACTAGTAGACTACCCCCCCCCCCCCCCCCCCCCCCCCCCCGGCACTTAAACTCGACATTGCCCTTAATGGCGTAAGAAAGGGGTAGAGTGATGTTACTTCTTGGACTTAGTGAGGGAATGTAGGAATCGAACCGGGGTAGGATAATTTGAGCTTCAAGGAGACAAGGAGAGACAACAAAAAAACACACACAAGCACAATACGACTCGCTCAAGGTGAGGTTATTACAAGCACAATACATAGTAGTAATAGTTCAAACTTGCTAACCTTCGTTGGGTTGCCTCCCAACAAGCGCTTGTTTCTCGTCATTAGTTTGACGGTTGGGGATCATTCACGACTTCAAACATGATGCCACCGAGAGCAGATCCACCACACTCTCGGGACGAGGCTTGTAGCCTCCCATCTCATACTCCTTGGGTTGGCTTGGTTGGCCAACATTGCTTCGGCCTCCCCCGTCTTCGGGGTCAAGGCTCCCTTAATCCTTCTTCTCCAAGCATCCAATCTTGGTCTTTTTGGCTTAGGACCCTTCTTAACTTCCTGCTCAACATCATCCAAGACAACACAAGTAATGGTGGGGTTTGCCTTGAGAGACTCTCCTCCACTCTCATTCGCATCATTTGAAACTACCCCCCCTTCACTTCATCACTCCTCACCCTAGGATCAATTTCAAACTTGATTCTCTCCTTACCATCCCTCAAAATTAGGGTTCGCTCATTAACATCTATCAATGCCTTGGCGGTTGCAAAAGGGGACGACCGATGATGAGGGGCATATCCGAGTCCTCACTTATATCGAGAATCACGAAATCGGCCGGATAGCAAAACTTGGCCACTCTCACCATCATGTCATCCACTATACCTCTCGAGCTAATGACTGAACGGTCAGCTAAGGTGATGCTAAGCTTAGAGGTCTTAAGTTCACCTACTTCTAACTTTTTGAAAAGCTTGTAGGGCATCACATTCACACTAGCTCCTAGGTCCGCCAAGGCATTGTGTATATGGTGATCACCAATATCAAGTGGGATAGTAAAGCTACCTGGGTCGGACCACTTTTTGGGCAAGCGGCCGAGGAGGAAAGCCGAGCACTCCCTGCCAAGAGTCACGTTGGCGAGGCCTTCAAGCCTTGGCTTCTTGATGAGGAATCCTTTGAGGTACTTGGCATATCTAAGCATTTGCGCCATGGCTTCGAGGAATGGGATGTTGAGGTTGAGGTGGAGGTTGCGTAGCATTTCCATGAACCCTCCACACTCGTTGTCCAACCTCTCCTTGTACATTATTGTGGGATAAGGAAGAGGTGGCACATATCCATCCTCCGGCAATGGCTTCCTTGCCGCTTTCCTCTCATTCCTCGAGGGCTTCTTCTCTCCCTTCTTCGGGATGGTTTCTTCCTTGTTAGAATCCTAATTCTCCACCACTTCATTAGTGGCAACTTCCGGAACCACCTTCACACTTCTCACTTGAAGTGCATTCACCCCAGCTTGATTGGGATTCGCCACGGTTTGGGAAGGCAAGGCTCCCTTGGGTCTCTCGATGAGGATACCGGCAAGGTTGCCGATTTGCACTTCCAAGCTTTGAAGGCTCGCTTGATGTCTTCGAAGACCCGCCTCAACCGAGGTAAACTTGGTGGTCGCCACATCCATAAATTGCTCTATCTTCTCGAACTTTGGCTACTCGTACTCACAAAGGTGTTCACTAGGTCCTCAAGTTTGGATAACTTGTCGGGTTGATGTTGTTGTTGAAACCCTAGGGAACCTTGTGGTTGGTAAGGTTGTTGAAAGTTTGAGCCTTGGAGTTAGGGCCTTTGTTGGATGAAGGTTGGCTGAGGTTGGAAGTTTCCCGAAGGGCCTTGGAAACCGGGGCCTTGGATTAGCTGGTGATGCCCAAGGAAAAGATGGGGTGGTTCCTCCATCCGGCGTTATCAGTATTGCTATACGGGTTGTTGACCCTAGCATTTGCCACAAAGTTGACTTGCTCCTCCGGAGTGGTTGCCTCCTTCATTGCTTGGCACTCCGCCATCTTGTGGCTAGTACTCGAGCACCAGTCGCACGACATTATCGCCTGTTTTCCTTGCCTTTTATCTTCAAGCATAACCTCAAGCAACTTATCCAACTTTGCCTCAAGTGGAGCACTCGCTCCCACGCTTCTCGCTCCCCTTTCATTGCTTCTTCTACCACTTCTAAGATCTCGGTTATTTGGGGCGGAGCCATATTCATCAACATCCCCTGACACAAGGAGTCAATGAGGATCTTATCTTCTTGCATTAGCCCTCCGTAGAAGGTTTCAATCCGAAATTGTTCTTCAAACCCGTGGTGAGGGCACTAAAGAAAGTAATCGGAGTACCTCTCCCAAGCATCCCTCAAGGTTTCGTCCTCTTCTTGCTCGAAATATGTAATCTTCTTTCTCCACTCCGTCGTCTTCAAAGGCGAGCAATAACGAGCCATAAACTTGTTGAGGAGGTCGTCCCATGAGGTGATAGACCGAGGTGGGCGGTTGTTTAGCCACCTAAGTGTCTTCCTCGAGAGTGAGTATGGGAAAAGCCTTAGTTGCCAACCTTCGGCCGGCACACCATTAATTTTCAAGCTCCTTGCGAACTCCAAGAATCTCTGCACGTGCTCTTTTGGTGACTCGCTTTCATGGCCGTGGAAGAGAGCATTACTTTGTATCATAGTCACCAGAGCCGGCTTGATCTCGAAATTGTTTGCCACCACAGGAGGGTGTAGGATCGGCGATTGAATGTCCGCCGGCTTTGGGGCCATATAGTACCCCCATCGTCCTTGGGGCTTTTTCTTCTCCCGCCTTCTCATTCATATGGCGGGCTTGAGCGCCTCCTTCTTGTCTTTGGTTGCCCGCCATTTCCTCTTTAATGATAGGTTCAACTTTCACTTCTTCAACTACTTCTCCACTAACACTGGGACCCAATTGTTGTCCCCCTCTTTCACTCTTTCTCCTTGCCTCTGATAGCTCTCTCTCCCTTGCTAGGAGCCGTAGAGTTCGGTTTATGTCCTCGTCAAGTGGTAGCAAGGGTGTCGGGTCATGCACCTCCTACACACAATCGGAAAACACCAACTCTAGCACAAGCAAAGAACACACACACTTGCAAAATTGGAAATTAAAAGCTAGATTAACAAACAACAACTTTTTCAGAATAACAGACCGTTGTTCCCTGGCAACGGCGCCAAAAACTTGACTCGCACGAAACTACACCACAATTAAACCCCAATTAGAGCCGAAGTTTTTAAACTCTAATCGGGTGCAGTATAGGGCAAGTATTTATATATCGACCCGGGTCGGTCCTTCTACCCCTACTTCGGTTGTTGAAATCATTATCTAGCGATAAAACTTTGGTTTAAAGGTTTGCTAATTGAATGAAAGAAAGCAAAGGTAATTTGGTTTAAAGGTTTAATGGATTGGAACGATTGCATTGGGCACGTTAATCATGAACCGCAGAGGAAAGCGTATGTGGTCGGAGACCATAGTCTCAATTGCTAAACCGAGGTGAGGATGAAAGGCCGTGTCACTCGACCCTCTTGGTTTAGACAATCGGTAATCGGCTTACTTCCTCACTCAACTCGAAGATCGGACGGTTTAACCACGATTAATCGACTAATTTAATTCATTATTGAAGGTTGCCCTAACTCAACCTAGTTTAGGTGGCTTAGAAAGCGGAAGGAAAACCAACTCGATTGAGGCTCTTAAAAGGGGGATTTTCCTCTCTAAACTAGGCTAAGGTGGCAAATTAGATTACTAGCACGTAAATACACAAACTTAGGGGTGCTAAGCACAATTATGCACAATCTCTAGGATTCTAAGAACAAAACATGCACACCCCCTACGTTGCTAAGCACAAACATGCATAATCATGGTGAAAAATGCATCAAACATTGAATTGAACAATACCCAATATCACACACAAACAACTTCTGAAAGGAAAAGGTAGCGACACTTCATCGTTTAACATGCTATTGCTACCTTTCATCATAAAAAGGTCCTAAAACCAATAGAACTCTGCACAACCTGAATGTAACCTCCAGCCAAAATGCAATTTACAGAAGCAAATTGTAACACATTCAGTGATAGCTTTGAGAAAGAAGGATGGCATTTTTGAACTGCACCAATGCTAACAAAAACTGCTAATAGTTTGACATGGCATCCATTAGCTTACACAAGTCATGACGAGACGCAAACACCCAAGATAAAAGTCGGAAAGAATAAACTACACAATCACGAACTGGGAAGGAGTTTAAGAGATAAAGACAAGTACCCTGTCTAAATCCATGTCCAGAGGAAACTGAAGGTTCCTTTCTCCAAATAGTTCTACAGGAATAGGAGTCCTCCATCTAGGTACTAGAGTAGTAGAGCGGTTGAAACGGTTCCTCAAATGTGATACCCTAGAAACCGGATTTCGAGTCTGTGTTCCTCTTCTATCTGGAGGATTCCGATAGCCCTGTGCTTGGGGCCGAGGCTCTGTTTCTCTGCCCTAAAATAGTAAGTAATCAGCGAAATAGAGTAAACTTCAAAGCTTCAATAGGGGGTCGTAAGAATTACAGAGCTAACAATGCAATAGACTTCTATCCAGACAATAGTTAGGACATGTTTTGGGTAGAGGAAACCACATCAACTACACAGGTTTGGGAAGTAGGAAGAGGGGTATATGTGACAGAACTCGAGTTCCGAGCTCTACCTAGGGATTGGAAAGGGGGATCAACTAGGGATTGATCCGGTGATTTGGGAAGTAGGAAGAGGGGTGGATTTGGGGTTTCGAACAAGAAGAAGGGAAGGGAGAAGAGGTGCTGCCGCGCGGCAGCAAGGAGAAAGGAGAAGAAGGCTCGGCGGTCAAAAGAGAGGGGAAGAGGGAGAGTGATCAAAAGTCAAAACTCAAAAGTAGGTTTAGGTTAAATCTTGCTTACTCATTTCTACGTAGCCTCATAGTTTAAGTACTAAAACACAATTACCTATCACTACCCCAGCTTATTAATCTTACCCTATCCCCAAATCAAACCCACATAAACAATTCTTAACAATCAAATCCGAATCACAATAAACAATTAGCAGAATCGACAATGTGAAATCTGATAATCATGATGATTAGCGATTGCGGACTACTAAGCCGACAAACGAAATAATGCTTAGACCTGTTCTCTCGACCAGAAACTGCAGAACTTTTGGGATTCAATACACTACAAATCATTTCCCATCATTAAGACCTAGTATTGCAGGTCTCAACAGTAACAGATTTCCAAAGAGACTCCAACACAGAATCTAAAAAGGTTGGAACACTATACATATTTAGAAAATGTAGCGACCAACTAGAAGAAACTTAAAAAATGTAGTAACCTTTCAGGACTTAGAATCAGGAACACATCTAGCATCACATCATATAAGATACCCTGTCAACAAACGCCAAAAACTAGAGCAACGATCCAGACGAAGAGTGAAGGGCCACAAATTTACCAGTTAGAGAGGTAGACATACATACAAGAAGATGCAAACTTTGCTCAAAAACCTCGGCCGGCCAATACCGAGATCACGGCAACTTGAAACTGCCTGGAAAAAAATCAACAAAAATTGATAGTAGCCTAAGGGTTCGAGGTCGAAAATTGAATACGAAATACACGTGAATAGAAACCCTAATTCACAGACAGGAACGACGGCAGACAACAAAATTAATCGGTACCCGGAGCAAATTCCTCAAAAAGCGAACAGGCGTGAAGACGGAGATAATGAGAAGCACAAAAACAATTGTATTACCTTGTGTAGGGTTGGCGAGAAACAGATACTGATTACTGACTGAAGATAATGAATCTCCGATCACTGAATCTTTCGCTGGTGCCGAGATGACGATCGTATTCGAGTCCAACCTCCAACATCTCGGCTCTCCAGGCACGGACCTGGATCGCAATTCGCTAAGGAGGTTTGGGCCGGCCCACTTGCCCGCTCTGTGGCCAAGCATTAAAAGACGGCCAGTAGAGATTAAACCATATAAATGCCACACCTCGGGCCAAACGCAAGCCCAGTCCACTGTCGTGACTTTCTTCATAACTGTGCATAAAGTGAAGTCCAAGTCCAAGAGATACGAAAAAAAGGGAATTGCTGAGGGAGCGAATGGAAATGCGTGAAATGACCAAGGCTGTGAGATAGCTAGCAGAGAACAGTCGACAGAGGGACGTAAGGATGTTAGACGTCGCTTTCACCAAGGAATCTAGCTAGTTAGAAGTTGGAATTTTCACCTTGCCTTACTTTTTGTACCAGCATTCTCGCAAGCTAGCTTTCATCTGCCAAAGGAAGACGAACTCGAGCATAGAGTGCACTGAAGTCCAGGTCTTGTTTCCAGCAGGATTGGAGCCATAACTTGCTAGCTAGCTACTTGTAGGTAAGAGCAGAATCGTTTCGTTCCTTCCTTCTGTTCTACATTTCCATTTAAACAATTTTCGGGGCCAGTGGTAGATTTTGATTAGAAGCGTCATAAACTGTTAGAAGAACTGCAACAACCACTGGTAGAACATTACCTGCTGAATGCTAAAAAAAACTTGTTGATTGTCGAAGATGCCACTTCCAGTAACCTTAGCTCTTTTATTGCATTGACCATATTGTAAGTGCTCTATATATAAGATTATAACACTGACCATCTCCTTTCGTGGGTTAATTTGCATGAAGTATCTACTTTCTGTTTTCTCGCTCTTTTCTCCGTTGTTTTGCTTGAACTTGTTAGGAATGAGAATGAGTCCGGTTGACTCAGTTTCTCAAAGTCAATGGTAGCTATATATGGGTTGATAGATATAACCACAAATAATATATATGAACATTCGCATCCTTATATTATAAGAAAAATTTCTATAACTATATTGTCATGAAATCAATGACATATTATTAAAATTATATTGTCATAAAATTTAATAATATATGAGAAAAGCTTGCTAGGGTTTCGTGGAAGGATCAATCTTCAGCTATCTCTGAGATTGTCCTCTGCCTTTTATAGCTCAACGGAAATGTAAATGAGAATGGATTACAGAGCAATGCCATTTGGCTGCTTTCTATTCGTCCATGCATTTAAAGTCTAAACAGTAATTAAAACGGCTAATTACTATTACCCGCTACATGTAGTAAAATGACACAGTTTAATTAAAAAGACTTTAGCAACTAAATAAAACGTTTCTGGCTCTGGTACATTTCGTCCAACTCCTTCTTCCTCGAACCTCTTCTTCTTCAATCCTTCTGTAATCAGGATTTCACTTCTGTCAATATCCACAAATTATCCATATTATTAAGTTTGATACAAAATGACTTTGTGTTTTCTTTTTGTGTGCGGATCAGGTAAACATCGATTGGATTTTGGCAAAGTTTGTACTCGACTCAACCCATCAATTCTGGAAAAAAAAAATAATAATAAGACCAACACCTACAAAAAATCCATCAACATTGAATTTGATCGGATTGGTCTGAATTGAGTACCCGCAAGTCGAGATTCCGTTGCGATCCCTAATTGTTGTGCCTTTCTCTGTTTATTCTTTCAATGTAAGTTCCCTATAGTTATTTTTAGCAGTTGAGTTTTCTCTGTTTATTTTTTCATGCTCTACCTGTTTATTTTTTCATGCTCTGCCTATTGGTCAATTTTTACAAATAGATAATTGACTATTCCTCTCCTCAGGCTAGAATTAACATACATTTGGATAATTTGTTGTTGCATAATGGATTATTGTCGCCTGCCAATATTAACTCTGTTTATGCTACATTGTTTTCTAGGGAAATCCAAATGGACAACCTGACCAATCGTGTCTCCCGGCGACTACGATGCACCCGAACTGCCACCAGATTTTCAAGGTGGGCAATGAGGATCGTCGGAGATCAGCGAGTGAGAAATACTACGAGCCGCAATTGGTAGCGATCGGACCCTATCACCACGGTAAGCCTGGACTGGAAGACATGGAGAAGTATAAATACAACTACCTCACCCAATTGCTGGACAAGTAACTAGTTTTTTTAATAGCCTGCCTGTGACATTCCATAATTCAGTTGAAATCAAGCAACCCAATTTTCCCACAATGCATTAAGAAATCAGGTATGGTCTTTTAATTTGTGGCATACATCTTTAGTTGTTTATTTTGATTAGTAATTTAAATCTATAAGTATTATTGTAGTTCATTCAACTAGTTTTTTTTTTTTGGTAGAATGATAAGTACCCAATTTTCCCACAATGCATTAAGAATCTTCCAATCACAATTTAGAATACATGAATTGTCAAAATCACTTGATAAGAGGACTTACAGAACTGCAAAATCGAACCAAAAGAGAGAAGTGAGATATGGTTACTTGGGATGAGGTTTTCCTTCGAGGGACTTGCACTATTTTGTTTGATTCAGATAGATAATTAAGCTTTTGAGGGTAAGCTTTCGGGTTAGATCACGTCCTTAAACCTCATTCTTTAAGGAGGATCTTAAACCCTTGTCAATCAATAGGAGGAGGGGAGGGATAATCATTAGTAATTATTAGCTAACTACCAATAAGGACAAGAATTAAATATAATTATTTGTAAAAATGAAAAAAGTACAAACCCTTCTCCTCCCACAGTCTCCTTCCTCTTCGTCCGCCATTGAAGAATAGAACTGCCTGGTCCCCGTCGTCCTTTTCTATCGATTGTTGCACGCTGCACCTAACGAGGATAGCGCCGACAACCATGATTGGTGACTTTTGGTAGCGCATCTGACGGTAAAACTTCTCCACCGTCTCCTTTGACATCGCGGCGCCCCTACTTCTACCACGGTCGCGGATCTGCCGGTGAAACTTCCCCACCGTCTCCATCGTCTACGCCAGTGAAGATCCGACTCGCTCCGTCCCGCCGTGTCTCCCTCGTCCGTAGTTGTCGGAACCCCCAACCGCCATCAAGTTCTTCGACAACCACCATCAATGGTTCTCGTCATTAATAATTGCCATAATATGATTAATAATAATACTGTGATTGTTGAATAACGTATTGTAATATAGGTTGACGACGTGGTTGAATATTATTAACATTGTAACATTAATTTGTTAATAATGTTGCTGATAAACCTCAAATTGAAGGCTCCTCTAATTGTCATAGCAATGTAGTTGCCAATTAATTATTATCATAATATGAATAATAATAGCAATGGTGTTGTTTAATAATGTATAATTATATTGGTTGACGATGTGGTTGAATATTATTAAAATTATAACATTAATTTGTTAATAATATTGATGGAAAAACTCAAATTGAAGATTCCGTTGATCGTCATAGTGATATAGTTGCCGGTTAATAATCACCATAATATGATTAATAATAAAAGCATTGTCGGTTAATAATTTATAATAATTTTTTTGACGACGTGTTTGAATATTATCAAAATTGTAACGTTAATTTGTTAATAATGGTGTCGAGAATATTGACACAAATAAAAACATTAATAAAATTTTCGTGGTCGAGTAAGAACATGAATATTGACACAGCTTGTTAGTTACTAATTAATGACCCAGATGATATTGTTAATAATAGTGCAGTAGTAGGTTAATAATGATTAATAATATTATTTGATGACGTTATAAACAGTTAAAAACGTTGTTGATATCGATATATACTCAGATTTGAATGAAATACCTAAACTTCAAGGGGCAAAATGTTGGTAACAAATTGGCGGGAAGTCAAGATGAAATTGCAGTGGATATTGAGGGGATGGATGTTGAGTTGTTTGTTTTGCATATATGAAAAGGAAAAAAAAATTCACGCGTCTTGATCTTTTGTGTTTTTGAGTCTTCATAGTTCAGAAGTAGAAATTGGGTACATGAGTCTTGGAATGATGATAGCTCCGTACCAGTGGTGGACATTTCAATTGACAATGAAAGTAATAGGAACCAGTGGATCATCAGCAACAAATCCTTCACGGTTGACCTCGGCGGCTCCAATCTCTCCTCCTGAAGTACAGTAAAATTGTTGATAGTGAAGTGAACAATATTAATAATGGGTAAAAAACTGTTAATAATGAACACAGATTGATAATAGTCCATGTTAATCCAGCCGACAGATTAATGATAGCACACTATTAAAAATGTTGCCAATGACATTCAAAATATCAATAGTGGCACTACAATAAATTCGGCCTATTAGGAAAAAAATTTTATTTTGGCATTTTTTGTTTGTCACAATAGTGGTGATATGACAAAAATAATATATGTCCAATTTGGTATGCCTAATGTGACAAAAAAAATTATTGTCAGAATAAGTCGTCATTTAAAGTGAGTAATGTGACAAATATTTTGTGTCACAATTAAGTTTGTCACAATAGCCATCCCATATTGGGATGTAAGATACACAAAAGTGACAAATTATATCGTCAGAGTAGCGTTTGTCATATAGTTAATAATAATGATGTAGAAAAGATATAATTAATAATAACGTCATTGTTTGTAATAACTCTGGGAGCAACTGCCTTCTTCTTCTCAATCGTCTTACTAAGCGGTGCAACCTTACGCGTTGTATTCTTTGTATGCGACATATTGTGGACCACTGTCAAAAATTACAAATTGCATATAAATATATTAATAACTCATGTTTGAACAACTAAAAATACAAGTGGAAATTTTAATAAACATAAAACAAAACATTAATAATGTCATTTCACAAAGTCACAAACAAAACCTAAAATTGTTGATAATGAATCACTTTTTTGTATGGTTATATACCGATAATAAGAAGAAAAACAATCCTGAATAACATACATGTTATTTGATAATGCGAGATGATAAATGTACAAATATAGAACAAATTGTTGCAAATATAAAAAACTTTGACAATCAGCGCTTGGAAATTTTAAAAACCGCTCCGGATCTCACAACTTCATTAATAACGCTCTTCCGTTGAACTATCAATAAATCTAAGGGTAGTTTTTAATTTTTATGGCTAATTTCGTTCTTCGAATTAGTAATAAAACCGATGGTAATTGTTACCGAGGTATGCTATCATTATCAACATTTTTGCAATACAAGTTGTTTTTAATGACATCATGAACGTTTTAAGTGGATTATGTTAAAAAAAAACATCTTAGTTTTAACGATTTTCAATGTCATTATCAATATGTGACATATAAGGTATTAGTAATATCTAGAAAGTATAATGACCCTTTAGATGCAATCATTATCAAAGTTATTGGTTGCGTTATCAACAAAATACATGATAGTTATTAATTTTTCGATCTTGTAACTTGACTCGCCGGATAATATTTTTTATGGCATCATCGTTATCATGGTTTTCGTAGGGAGTTATCAATAAATTGTTGTAAAATTATTAACAATTAGTTCTAGTCACTATCAATGATTTACTTTCATGTGCATCGGATATGGAGATGCAATATGGTTGACTATCATTAGATATGATCATTATCAATGATTTTTTGTTGCATTTTAAGTGAACACAAGCTATTAATAATTTGTATATCATTATCAACATTTTGAGAAGAGAGTTATTGATAACATTACCATGGGTATTACCCATTTAGATGCAATCATTATCAATAATTGTGCTTGTATTTTCAATGTCAACAATTTAGATATTAAGGATAAATAGTGTCAT